GACAAACTGTTTCGTCGGAGTTTCACCGACTCATATATATATATATATATATATATATATATATATATATATATATATATATATCAGGCCGTCGGCCTCCGAACAGATTTGCGCCTCCCAAAAATTCTCGTCCGCGATCCCGCGGCACCCTTCGCCCTCAGTCCCGCTCGGACCGTCGGCCTCCATACAGATTTCCGCTGGGCCCAGCACAGGGCGTTACGGTGGACCCATTGCAGTTTCTATAAGGTATATATATATATTATATATGTATCGTCACAAACAGAACTGCCCGGTAAACCGTAGGCAGACCGTAGGCAGAGAGAGAGAAGAGGACAACTATATATCGTCAAATAGAACTGCCCGGTAAACCGTAGGCAGAGAGGGAGAAGAGGACAACAAACGAGGGGCTGTGACAAACTGTTTCGTCGGAGTTTCATATATATATATATCGTCACATGAATATCAGAGCGCAAAGGCGAAAAAAACAAAAGAAAACAAGAAAAAAATAATTCGTTTTTTTATCTTCTTCCTTATAACTCCCCCTGTTGTGAACCTCTTGCGTACAAGGCCGCCCACGTCGATGTAGGTTGAACGGCGGCTGCCCCCACCCCAGTGTGTCGTATCGACCCACTTGGACACAGCCAAAAGGCAAAGAGGCAAAGAGGCAAAGAAAAAAGGAAGGAAACAGTCAAATACAACAAAACAGGGGGCAGCAAGCAATAGCACCAAAAATGGATCCTAGATAACAAGACAAGTCCCACATGCAAGCACCGCCCCAGGGCCGCCTCCACAGGCCAAACGACAGACAACAGATGGCCTTGTTCGTCATCAACTTGAAGACGTGGGTATTCCCATTTGTAAACCGTTCTTACTGGGATAAAAAAACATAAAAGACAATCCCAGATGACGATTCCCACATAAAAGCACCGCCCTCACGCAGGCCGAACAACGGGAAACAACCAACTACGATGCCAAGACGATAAAAAAAACCCGGATGACTGGTCCCACATGAAAGCACCGCTACGCTACGCTCGCCGAAATAGACCGAACAACGGGACCAAACCAACCGGGATGCAGACAAGGTTACCAAAAAAAATTCTACAATTATATCCATAGTAAAAAAAACGGAACCATACAGTAGGTCCGTAAAACAAAATACCCCATAAAAATAAATGGGGAAGAATTAAGCAAAAAAAGGAGAAATGGTAGCAAGAGAATTAGGAAAATATTTCTACCATAACCCAAGAAGAGACTGCTAGTACAGGCCCGACGCTCGCCGCATCATCTACAAAAGCAGAGAGCTATATATATATATATATATAGTCACACTGTGAATCAGCGCGCGATGGCAAAAAGCAAAACAAGGAAAAGAAGGAAGGAAGGACAACCCCACCTGTTCGTCACCTCTTACGTACAAGGCCAGCCATGTGGATGACAGGTTGAGCGCTGGCTGCCCCCATCCCCGTGTGTCACAAGGACCCGCTTGCACGCAGCCAAAAGGCAAAGAAGTAAAGAAAAGGAGGAGGAAAGCAGACCTTACAGAGAAAGAAAAAGGTCAAAGAAAAGACAACGGAAGAAAGCAAATGTCACATCCCACAGATAAACCAATTGCCACTGTCACTACAAAGTTCAACATATTTTTTTCTTTTCTTCTTTTTTTTTGTTTTCTTTTTTCTTTTCTCCAGAAGTTTGTACTTTTTCTCTTTCTTTCTTTTATCTGTCCTACAATTAGTGTTGCTCCTGATCGCTTAATTTTATTGACCAGTCAGGAAGAGGAGCCCCCACCTCGACAGATAGGACAGGCACACTGAGGATGATGTTGATGTTTACAAGGATACCCAAGGAGAGCTACTTCAGCACAGCATTCAGCAGGACGGCTAGCACGGACCATCCCATCAAAACAGTCCTGACAAAGGACATGCTGTCCACATGTCAAAAAAACAGCAGGACGTTCATCACAGTGTGGCATCATGCAGTCCTGATAGCGTCCTTGAGCACAAAAGGGACAGTGAATATCTGGGTGATAGGGATGTGTACAATGAGGAAGTGTTGGACACCCTATATAATAGATAGATAGATAGATAGATAGATAGATAGATAGATAGATAGATATCCAGTGATCTATCTCCTTTCACGACAGGCTATGGTCCCCAGATGGAAGGAGTTCGTCATTGCAGGTGTCTTTCATGCATGCAAATGCAAGTTCTGTTGAACCGTCCCTCTATAGAGGTGGGCAGTACATGAGAGGGCATTGGCACTAAATTCAATGCAGGGCCTACCTTTTTTGGGGGGTTGGGCCTGTAGCTAAAGTTTTGGTCTCGATAATTCGGCTCAATACTAGGTCAGCAATAGCCAGCCAACCTGGCTCACTTGGTACACCCCAGAGACGATGAGATGATGGAGAAACGCGGACCTGCACAGAATCCGTGTGCTGCGGGACAAAGACGAGTGGATTGCATACCAGCCAAATACCACTGTGGCAGAGCTCCCCTTTGACCCCGAGGAATGGCAGTGGGCCCCTAGGCGAAAACGCTGGTCGGGGGAGAATCTAAAGTTGCATACCTTAACAGTGAAGGCTACTTACCGTCTGCTGCGACCAAAGGTGAACATAAAAGTAACGGTGAAGGCCCGATGGGGATCTCATTTGAATGTAGGAACTGAGGCAATCCGCCCAATCGGATGGTTCACCGCCACAAGGTCTAGGCCAGCGAAGATGGCCTCGCTGCAGTGGCAGATAGAACATCGCTGCCTGCCCACCAAGGAGTGGTTGATAGATCGTACATATCTAGGGCAGAAGGGGTGGGCGCTACCGTGGTGTAAATCGTGCCGCACCGTCTTCCCCTCTCGCAGGATTCCGGAAACCATAGAGCATATATTCATGCAATGTCCGGGGGTTGTTCTTACATGGCGATGGTGGGATAGGACGTGGACACTGCTAGGCACTAGTTCCAGCTGGCCATGGGATTGGAGGATCATATTATGTGAGGCATGGACCTCCCCCAATGACAATACTTTCGAAAACAACATGTTCAAGTTAGGGAGGAGAGCGGTCATGTGGACTCTCTGGAGAAAACGCTGTACCCATGCTATCGAGGGGGTCCACATAGCTGGGGAAGAGGTAACAGACATGATAAGACAATATATCCAACAACAACTCATGGTACAGTGGCAAAAGTTAAAAACCAACTTAAGATGTTTCATTCATCAAAGGACATAACACAAGCAATTCATCAATTCTCTGCGGACTGGTTGGGCAGTGAGAACGGGGGCTGGATCGCACTTGTCCGATGGGATGGCAGGCCCGGCCAGGAGTGTAACCAGGAGGAATTCAGGAGAGACTACTGTATTTGCTTCAGAGACTGGACTACGGCGCGCCAGGAGATCCTGCTGCAACCAGCCACAGAATTTCCCGACCCCTTCCCACCCCACCAGCTGGCAATGGTCGACATGCAATGGTACGGAGCAGAATGAGCAAGACCACAGGCAAGATCACAGGCCGATGGCCCAAGTAAGGAAGAAGCGGGTCAACAAACAGAACACGGAAGGTATCGGCGGGTATGCAGAAGAAATAGGAAGTAGCCGCTAGGGAAACATGAGTGATCTGGCGGCCTGGCGCAGACTGAAGAGGCGGCGCCCTGAAGTGTACTGTTGTCCAACATACTCATCGATTTGAATCATTTCATGGCCTCCATGCAATCATGCTTCTCCCCCTGGACGATAAAAGTTCCTAGCAGAATTATCATAATGGTAATGAAGACAAAGCTGCTTTTGTTATTTTGGCATGGGCGAGGAGGGGCAGGGTTCCCTCGTAAAGTTCTCTCGTCAGTTTATAGATGAGGTGATATTGAAAGGATGTGCAGGTGCTGTAGTTCCCCAATTACTGAACATAAGAACAAAGGGTTTGCTATTCTGCCTTTTCTTTTTTGTGTCTGTATTAACGGAAGTGCAAGGGAACCCATCAAAATACACCTGACAGACGGAGTGATGTCATATTATGGCACCATGACTTTATGACCATAGGAGCAACCATAATGGCGGGGATAGAGTCAAGGATAGTTTAAAAGAAATCATGGAAGAAAGCATCAAAAAAATGCTCTCAAAAGAATACAGAACCTCAAGGCTGAGATCACAAACAGCACCATGGAGTCCACTCCACAAAGGAGTCCGATCTGTTCCCCCTTCCTTAACTCTTCTGCGCCACGAACATGCGCGGGTACAAACGAAGGCTATCACGTTGTGTTAAGCTTGCTTCATTCTCCCCATGCATCTCCAACCCTTCCATTAGATGCTCATTGGCTATCATTCTTCCCATTACGGCGTTTTAATACACCTTCGAGTCTCCACTAAACTTTGTGAATGTCAAAGCCGAGACAATAGAGCAGCATCATACAACTTCACACCTAACTCATAACAAATGGAACACTCACTGAAATGGAAATACAGAATTCCCCCTCCCTCTCTCTCTCTCTCTCTCTCTCTCTCTCTCTCTCTCTCTCTCTCTCTCTCTCTCTCTCTCTCTCTCTCTCTCTC